TGGCATCGGGTGCCTCTGATGCTGCCCATGTAGGTATTGGATACCCCTGTGGGACTCCACCATGGCTGCCACGCCCTCGCTTGCTTTTTCACATGTCTATCTGCTGCATCAGAGTGCCAGAATGGCCTCTGATGTCTGGAATCAAGGCCACATGTTGGGAAGCTGGGAAATCAAGTCTCTGGGCTCTGAGGTAGAAGGGGTCCCTGCTTCTTGCCAAGACTCATAAGCTGAGGGATTGCCCAAATACAGGAAGGGTGTTCAAAGGCACTTCTTCTAGAAAGAAGGCAAATGCCCACTGCACTCATTAGGACTCCCTCGAATGCCACCTTCTTTGTGACGTACCCAAGGCTGCCTCAAGCAGAGTCACCTGAGCCCCCTCTGTACCCACTTCCATCCTCAGGCACTCTATTGATGACCTGCCTCTAGGTTGTGAACTCCTCCAGGATAAGGGCCAAGGCACAGTTCATATATGTATCTCACCTCTCTCCTGCATCCGTCTGTACCTACAACAGAATACGGACACCATTATTTTAAGTGAACAAATAAGTGTTCAGATCCACTATCAAGGATATGCACTGCAAGAAGGACATGGCTCTCAGTGGATGTTGCGGGGGAATTGTCGCCAGCGGGTAATAATAATAACTACAATATATTGAGCACTTAGTATGTACTGATTTCCGTGCTAGGTACTTTATGTACAATATTTTATTTATTCACAAAAATTCCAGGAAGTAGGACCTATTTTGATCCTCTCCTTTTTGCAGGTGAGGAAACTGAGACCTGTTAGATGTGTTAAGTAACTTGCCAAAGGCACTCAGCTAGCACTGTCGGGATTTGAGCCCAGGCAGTCTGGCTCCAGGGCCTGGGTTTAAAACCAAAAGGCTACACCATAGGGTTGGCCAGAGAAGGCAACGGAAGGAAGTCAGGCAGCTGGCCCAGCACTCACGTCCTGTGTGAGCCCACGGGCACCTTCCAGGGCCTTCCTGCATCTGCTGTCTCAGGGGGACGGTAAGCACACAGGTTTGGAGATCCCTGTTGCTTTCATGTACCCCTGTCCTTGAACCCAGAAAGATATGACTGTCCCCGCATAGCCTGGAATGCCCAGCAGAGCAGGCAGACTTCTCACTCTTCTCTCTATATTGAATCAGCTTGCCTTTTTCACTAGACATCCTTTAATCATAATAATTTGAAATGACAACATGTTAAAAACACCGCAGCCTGAAACGCTATCTGAGATGCATGTTTGGTGGGAGAGGCAGTGATAGTACTGATTGGTGCTGAGGGCTCCTGCTTATTAAAGTCCTGTTTTCTTAGCGTGTATTTGGATCCAATCTGTCATTAGAGAGGCTGAAAAATATCAGAAAGAGACAAGCAAAAAGCAGCAGCCGAGATCACATGGCACAGATGTAGTCCATACGCTACAGACAGGCAATCTCGAGAAACTCTGGATGCTCTTAATTAAGCAATGAACAGCTGTCCAGCCTGAGAATGGGCAAGGCTCTTTAGACGAAGATATGGAAGCAAAAAGAAAAAGGACCACATGATGGACATGAATAGGAACCAAAAACTTGTCTATACCAAGTGGCTGTGGTGTCTAAATGCGGCCCTGGGTTCAGTCTTAGGGCTCTGGAATGCTCTTGCTTGAGGACCAGGATCTTGCATCAGAAGGATGGAAGGTTGCCAAGGCAACCAACAGACTGACCTCTAACCTTGGGGCCTGCTCCCAGCCCCAGCCTCCCAGTCCGGGTTAGTCATATACTACAGACAGCTTCCTAGATTGTACCTGACTGCTCTGAATATTGGTCGAGGGCAGTACCAAAAATCCTAAATGGGGGCCGGCACAGTGGCATAGTGGTTGAGTTCACGCGCTCTGCTTCAGCAGCCCAGGGTTTGCAGGTTTGGATCCCAGGTGTGGACCTATGCACCACTTATCAAGCCATGGTGTGGCAGGCATCCCACATATAAAGTAGAGGAAGATGGGCATGGATGTTAGCCCAGGACCAGTCTTCCTCAGCAAAACGAGGAGGATTGGCAACAGATGTTAGCTCAGGGCTAATCTTCCTCACATACGCATAAAAAAAATCTTAAATGGCCTTATCCTATACTTAGAAGAGCAAATTTCCCATTCACTCATTCATTATTTTTTTCATTCATCCATCATATATTTACCAAGAGCCTGTATGTACCAGGCACTGTTCTAGGTGCCGGGGACTCAGTGATGAAGGAAACAGACAATCTCTGCCTTCATGGAATTTAGAGGTTAGTGGGGGGAGACAGAGGTTAATCAAATAACCTCCCAACCCAAATACAAATTCATGACTGCAGTATGTTACTAAACTTTTGCTAAGGAACAGGAATTATGCTAAATGGGATTGCAAAATGGCGCTTAATCCTCTGCAAGGTCCTGAAGAACTGAGGCTCAGCGAGGTGATGGCCCAAAGTAACAGAGCTGGACTTCCAATCCAGCACCATCTGACGCAAAAAGCCCCTGCACTTGGCTTCTTCTTCATATTTCCCCTTGGCAACCTATGAATCTCATTTCTTTTCCAGCTCCTGCCCTTTCTTCTTTGAAATTTGACTTGAGCTTGTGGAGTTTCCATCCTTTCATGCAGTCTTTGACATAAAATATTCCAGCACCTAATATGTGCAATTCACTGGGCTCAGGGAACTTGTTAGACAAATTTTAACACTGAGAACCAACAACGATTTTTTCCTCAAGAATACCTGAAAACCAGATTACTACTACCTGGGCCAAAGTTAAAACAGTATTCTGTGTAGACATTTCTAAAGGCCCTGGATTATTAATATAGCAATGGTGCTCTCTGGTGACCATTATTGTGCCTTACACTTTCCTTGACTTAGGGGAGGAGTGCATTTTGGATGTGGTGGCGGCCTCCTATGCAAGTTAGGATGAATAAGCCTCCCCTAGTCTTGATCACCTTTGCTCCTCATCTCCCCACCCCACTCAATTTATATCAATTCGACAGGCAAGGTCACAGGTATAGGGTGTAGCATCTTCTCACGGTTCAGAGTTCCAGCAACCCCGACACAGGGTCCCCATGACCCACGGTGAGACTGCCAAGGGGTGAACCGTTCCACTGCCAGTCTCCACAATCTTCAGGATCATTTATCCATTAGAGGATGACAGATTAATCCATCATCTCCCGCTAGAACGCTTCCTTCTTTTCTGAAGGTTGTGGCTACAAATGACCCCACACACACTCTCTGACTCTATCCCTTGACTATAGGAATCACAAAGGAACTTATGCATTCCCTTTGAGCTAGGTATTGTGCTACAGGCTGGAGGTACAGCGATGAATAAGTAATGGTTCCAGCCCTAAAGCTTACGCTCTAGCAGGAGAAACAGGTGGCTAATTAGCCTACAAATTATTCACTTTAATTACAATAATTGCTACAAGAATGAGGCTCTGAGAGTCTATATCAGTGAGACAAGAGCAGAATAGGTCTGAGGGTCAGAAAAGGTTTCCCTGAGGACAGAGCAAGTAAGCTGTGCTTTGCCAAAAGTAAAGAACAGGCTGGTCAAAGTGACCAGGTAGCTTGGAGGAGAATGAACATGGGGCCCAGGCAGCTTGAACTGGGCTTCTCCTGGGGCTAAAGGTGATAAGTGTGGGGTCAATTAGTAGGAATAGACATTAGGTAATCTCAAGGACGGTGAGGTATTAAGAGAGAATGTTTGTCATTAATCTACCCATTGAGGAAGATTGAGCTGATGTTAAAGGATGAGCATAAACACCTGAATATTTTTTGAGAGTTAATTTAAACTCTCTTGAATAGGAAATGTTGGAGGGGAGAGAATCTCTGTCTAGTCTGCATATTCCCAGGAGCCCAGGATATTGCAGAATTTATTATTTACATCCCCTCCACTGCTTATGTAAGATGAGGAAATAAAAATAGCAAACACAATTTCCAGGGTTGTGGGCAGGAGTTGAACTAATAATGACCAAAGGCTGAAAGGCAGAGAGGATAGTGGTGGAAGCCATGGGTTCCAATAGTGAACCGTGGCTACAAAAAAATCAGGATATAGAGCCTTACCTAGAATATGATGCCAGCTAGCTCTTAGAATGTAGTATACCTTAGGTTACACATTGCAAGATTTGCAAGAACTCAAGGAAACCCGAGTTCAAATTCTCCTTTTCTGCCTCTAGCTGTGTGATCAGGGCAACAAACTCTCTGTGCTTCCATTACTTCGTCTGTAAAATAGCAATGATGATAGTATCTACTTTTTAGATCGTTGTGAAGTAGCGTGTGCAAAGCGCTTAGCTTCACGCCTGGCATATTCCAATTACTCAATATTAGTTTATTATTATTATTGACAATATTTAATCTGGGAGGAAATCCACACACGTAAGATAAATCAGGGACACTTATCTTCTTCGTCACAATTTTCTGTTATTTTTCAATTTTCTAAAATAAGTATGCATTGCTATTAAAATTAGAAGGGGTTAAAATCCCACATATTTTTGAATAATAGAAATTTGACCAGTCTACTGTTGCCTAAATTTCCCGCATCATAGTGTTCAAGGAGGTCACAAGTGTGCATGTTAAAAGCACAGACTGTTAGGCCCCAACCCAGAAATACTGAATCAGAATCTCTAAGGCATAAATCTGTTCATCTATGCTTTTAACCGGCCCCACAGATGATTCTTATAATGGCGCACTGCTAGGACGTGCTAACACAGAGCGAGGGCCGCAGAGTCTGCGCGAGAACGACCAGCACAGGCTGCAGCAATCACGAGGCCCTGGGCCTACAATTCCCCTACTGCCCAGCAAACTGGCGACAAGCCGGTCCGGAGTCTGCCGGGAGTTGTAGTTTCCCGGCCAGCCCTCAGCCTATAAGAAAGCCGGAGGTGATTGCCGAAAACTTCCCACCCCACAATGCAAAGGACGGCGGTGACGTCATCTGCAGGGCGTCCGGGATGGAGCGGGCGGTTTCTGCCGCCTCTGCCACCACCTCCGCCGCCTGAGAACCTGCCTCCTCCGCCACCGCCTCCGCCTCCTTTCCCACCTCCTCTTTCCCGGGTTCCTTCGCTTCCTCTCCACGACCCAGGCCCTCTGTCTCTGAGAAGAGGCCGTATTCGGTCTCCTTCGCGGGTCCGGGGCGCAGCAATGGCGGACGGCAGTGGCGGCGGGGGCACGGGCGCAGTGGGCGGCGGTGGGGCGGGCCAGGCCTCGGCGGGGTCGGCGACAGGCGGGACGGGGGCCGGCGGCAGCGGCGGCCCCATCAACCCGGCCTCACTGCCTCCCGGCGACCCGCAGCTCATCGCTCTCATCGTGGAGCAGCTCAAGAGCCGGGGCCTGTTTGACAGCTTCCGCCGGGACTGCCTGGCCGACGTGGACACCAAGGTAGCTGAGGCCGCCCGGGCCGCGGGGGTTCGGGCTGCGCGTGAGGCCGCCAGGGTTGCAGCTTTGCTTTTTCAAAGCGGAGAGAACAACAAAAGATATCTTACAGACCTCGGCAGTGAGGTGCTAGACCGCTTGGGGCAGTACAGGGAGCTTTCTGAGTGATGCACACGTGGGTTCGGCTTCCAGCCCATCACGGTCAGCGGAGTGACTTAGCCCAGTCGCTTCTCTGAACTTGGGGATTCAGTACTGGTTTTAGAGCCTAGACCCTATCTTTCCCAAGATGGCACTCCTTTAAGCTCCTACGTAACAAATCTCAATATGTTAAGAACAGTGGAGGAAGCCAGATAAGTAAGCGTGAATGGTTTAGAATGTCCACCCATTCTCTGTTCACCGTTAAGGAGCTGACATTAAACACAGAATGGCCTGAATGCACAACCTTCAGCGTTTTATAACTATTTGTTCTTTTTCTCTAGCCCAGTGATTTGCAGACTTGAGTATGCAGTTGAATTAAGGTACATTGTTGTAGAACCAGCCCCCTTATTTTGTACTCCATCATGGATTACAGGGGATTTGGTGCCTATTTTAGATCCTGATGCCATAGGTGAACCCCCTAGTAAAATGCTATTTCACTTTACCTACTTGCCAAGGTCGTTTGTCTTCAATGAAGTCATGTGCGTTAAGTGTCAGACATGCAGTAGTTGATGGAATGTTCATTTTCTGCCTTTTCAGAAGCTTCTCTAACAAGACTATGGTCGTAGATTGAGGAGGCTCTGTTACTGACTGGGCTCCTCCAGGGAAGTAGGAGCTCCTCTAGGCTCCTCTGAGCCTATCATGGAGATCTTTTGCCTACCTCACAGCAAGATTGTGAGCTTGAAACTAGACCTTAACCATAGGGAAAGGCCTAGTCCATTTATTCGCTGAACTTTTACTGGCCTATTGTGTGCTGGGCTACATGGCTACAAGAACAAGTCACTACCCAGTCCTCAAACCTTGTACTCTAGGGTAGAAAATTGACATGTAGACCAGATAGTATGTATAGTAAGTGGTGTGTACTGTCATTCTCCAAGATTAAAAACCCAAGTAGAAATGCTATGCTTGAAATGAGGTATTGAATTTTCCTTATTTAAGGGTCCCAGATATGTATTGACAGAGCTTTCACCTTTCCCAGGACTCTGGGTGTTCTCAACTTCCCCACTCATATTTTTTGTGTCATTAGGTTTTGTGTGGCTTAATGTAGTATGCTTGTTATTTTAAAAAAAAAAAAAAATGTAGGATTGAGAAGCTATTGGAGAGGGAGTTGGAGCTTTCCCCACTTAACACCACCTTAGTTGTGCTTTCTGGTAGTTACCAGGTTGTTTTATTTCTTGAAGAGAGTGTGGTTTTGGCACATCTTAAGTCCTTCGTTGCTTTAGCCCCATGGTTCTCAGTGTGATCCTTGGATCAGCAGCATCAGCATCACTGGAGAACTTGTTAGAAAAGTGTATTCTTAGGCCCCTTCCCAGACTGCTGAAATGTTTAGGGGAAAGTGTGCTGATGATGTTTGTAATTTACTTTGCAGTGCATCCAAAATATAAATAAATAGAGCAAACTGATAGGTGAATGGAGAGAGGGATAGATAATACAATAAAATGTTCACGGCAGAGTCATCCATTTGGTTACTAATATCTCTTGATTACATCTTAAAGCTTCTTCCTCTAGAAAGGGACTCTTGGCTCCAGTTCAGAAATCTCAGGGAATGTCCGCATTGTCTGAGCATGGGTCAGGCACCCACCCTTGTGGCCAGGAGAACATGGCATCCCCCTGCCCTACCATTGTGAAGAGAAGATGGTTACCAGGAAAAAGGAGTGGGTAGGCAGAGAGTTACACGAATGTCTTTGAATTTCACTCGTCACCCGTCTCGCTGCCTTCTGTTTTCCAGGTTTGGTGGAGAGTCTTGATGTGTGAGTCAGTTCTCTTGGCCTTTTTGAAGAGTTCACTCATGGAGTTAAAATCTGCTGATTCCTTTGTCAGTTTCATTTATCTGACTGTTAGCAAACCATGGCTACAATAACACTGCATAATAAACCAAATCTCAGTGGCTTGTAACAAGCATTTGTTCTCACGCTGCTGGGCTGCAGGTCAGCTGAAGTTCACCTGATCTAGGTAGGCTTCAGCTGGATGGCTGCACTGTAGGCTGTCTGGGCCTGCGTCCAAGCTGTGGGTTGGTCTTAGGTCTGCTACACGAGTACTCGTCCTAGGTCCCAGGCTGAAGGGGCTGGGGTGACCCAGGACGTGCGCTCATAGAGTGCCGTCAAAGCACAAGAGCCGTGCTAGACAGTACATCCACACTTAAGATCTCTTGTCACCAACATTCCATTGACCAGAGCAAATCCCGTTGCTAAACTCAACGTCACTGGGGTAGGGCAGTATTCTTTGCCCACAGTGGGAGGTGGCGAGGAGTGACATACTGAATGGCAGTCACACTATGACACCTGGTCTGGAGAAGAGCAGCTTATAGTGCCAGAAGTTTTTGGAGTCTCAGAACGTGCATTCCTTGTGTTCATGAAGTTCCTTCTGATTTTGTTCTCCTGCTCCTGGTTGAGTCTAGAACATTTGGGATTAGTAAGTGCCTCTCGTGTTGCTTTTTGGACTTACGTTGTGCTTCCTCTCAGCCTCTCTCAGTGTTCCATGGGCTTTGACTTCAGTCTCCTTTCTTGTGACATGCTGAGGTTTGGGTGGCCTTTCATTTTATGCAGAGGGCTGTCCTGAGCCCTCGTTTATTGCTGAGAACACCCTGCAAGGTGAGCAGGGCAGTCATATTTCAGTTTTACAGGTAGAAATGACTGAGACTCAGAGGCTGGGTGACTTGTTGAAAGTCAGAGAGCCGATAATCAACGGAACCAGCTAGAACCCAGTTCCTTTGATTTGGAAACAGCCTAGATCTAACCTTGGCTTTGCCACGTGGGCAAGTTGTTGACTTTTTCAAAGCCTAAATTTCTAATCTCTAAAATGGGGGCAGGAGAGAGCTAGTAGGACCTCCCTCATAGAGTCACTTGAAAAGGAAGTGGGATGATAAAGCATCTGGCATTGTGCCCACCCCCCATAAGTGGGCATTTTTGTCAGTCCTTAATTCACGCTCTGCCATGCTGCATGGTGATCTTCATAGTCACGGTGGAAGTGTGTTTAAGGACTTGAAAATCTACGTTTATATGAAAAGCAGTGTTCTGAATGACTGATTACCAAAACTTTGGTGCATGTAACTTCTGACTTTGCCTCTTTTTAATATTTTAGCCAGCTTACCAAAACCTGAGGCAGAAAGTGGATAATTTTGTGTCAACACATCTGGACAAGCAGGAATGGAATCCTACGATGAACAAAAACCAATTGCGAAATGGTCTGAGGCAGAGTGTGGTTCAGTAAGTAAGCAGAATTGAGAGTGAAAAGGCAGTAATCACAAGTATGACGCACAAGAAAGCTGATGCAAGTTGCTGTTTGGTCAAGGGGGTGGTACTTTACAGTAACAATTTGCTGCAGACCACTCCTTTATTAAAATCAAGGTTCAAGCAAGCAAAGAACTCAATTAAAATTCTTGCTAGTTTATCCAATGTACATAGGCCTCCTGTGCACATCTCTACTGGGTATGTCGAAAGATAGTCCAGATTGAAGCATATTCCCTACTCTTTAAAGTTTTCAGTATAGTCTGAACATGTGAAGGCATTTTATACCAAGATAGCCATGTTTGGCTCTTAGGCAAGGGGAACTGGATCTTGATTCTCACAGTGAGTGTGAGTTATACAAATTCTCTGAGTCCTCATGGCCCCTCTGAAGTGTAATGGCAGCTTTCAAGAAGACATGGAGTCTTATTAACGTGTGTCCTTCACCATAACAAACTGAACCTTAATAAGGTGCTATTGATAGCTTATCCAGGTGACTTCTCAGTGTCAGCGGGCATAGAAGTGGAGGTGGGTCATGGAATCTTGGTCCTAAGATAAGAGTCTTTTTTTTACTCTTAATACTAGTGCTTATGTTCAGGCTTTCTTGATCTACTGAACTCCCCTGGAATATCTAAAAGCTTATGAAGCCTGCCTTTTTAAAATGGAAATATCAGGGAATTATGCTGAGTGAAAAAAGCCAATATGAAAAAGATACCTGGTGGGTGACTCTATTTATATCACATTCATGAACTAACATAATTATAGAGATGGAGAATAGATTAATGATTGCTGGGGCTTAGGGATGGGAGGAGGGAGTGAGTGTGACGAGAAAGGGGTAGTACGAGGGGGTTTTGTGGTGGTACAGGTAAGTATCTTAATTGTGGCAGTGGTTACATGAAGCTACTCGTGTGATAAAATTACACAGAGCCACCCGTGCAGACACACACATGAGTGCAGCTGTAACTGAAATCTAGATGAGGTCAGGATTGTCCCGATATTTTCCTGGGTTTGATATTGTACTGAATCTTTTTAAACAAAGAAAGCTAAAATTTGTAAAAGCTCTCCAAGAGTTAGGGAAGAAGCATGATATCAAAAGATGCCTGGTGCCTTGTCATTCTGGAATCACTACCCAGCACCTTTGTTTCTCTAGGGAGCAGACTGGTGGCACAGGGATCCTTCAGAAAGAAGGGGACAGTAGCCACCACTTACAGAGCAGTTGTTACATGTCTGGCACTGGTCCTTAACGTGTGTTGTTGCTAATCCTCTCAAAAAGCCTGTTTTACATTTTTAAGTAACAAACTTGTGTTTACCCTATCTTTTAAAAGATTGGCCAGCATATTAAGAAAATAAATCAAAACACGAAGTATTTTGAAATATTTGGAAAGGTGCCATTAATGGTATGAAGACTGTCAACATTACTGTTAATTTTCAATAAGCATTGATGCCATTCTAGAGGTATGCATGTGACACTTGTTTTTATATACCTTTGATATGAAATGTGACACAGAAAAGGACGCAGAACAGAAGTACAGTATAACAAGTAATGAGAACATGCCAGTAATCGCCACCCAGGTTGAGAAATAGACCCTTACCTGCACCCTCCAAAACACCCTGTGCCTGCTTCCCTCCTTTCCTGGATATGCCCTCCTTTCAGAAGTTCACCATACTCCTGACTTGGAATTATTTCCTTGCCTTTTTTTCATAGTTTTGTCACCTGTGTAAATTTTCTTGCTTTTTGATTTGATCTAGAATATATTTAACCTGAACACATTAATTTGGATTTAATACTGGGACATTTCGCTATGATTCATGCTAATTTTGAATTTGAGGCAAATTCTGATCAAGTTTTGAAATGAAGGTTGGCTACTTAACGCTCGAGTGCTCTCACCAGATGAGGCACGGCAGCAGCCCTCAGCCTTGGCTTGCTGGCCTGGCGGTTCGGGCCCAGACGCTGTGTGCCAGTTCCACAGCATCGCAGGCTTACCAGCAAATCGGTTGAACCTCGTTGTAACCAGAAGTGTTTTAACTACATGATGTCTGTTCATTTCACCTTTTGTTTTAGGCTCCTGACAAGACTTCATGTTTGCCTCAAATGCTTTTACAATCTCCAGGAAAGTGAGCTACACTTTCTTGGTACTTTGTTTTTCCTGATCAGGCTTTTACATCCAATAGAGACCCCTGTGAATCTGACTTAGGAAGCGGCGTGGTGTACTTGGAAAGCTGTTGGCTTGTGACTAAGGAGAGGTGGCTTTGCTTCCTGACTCACCCACAGCCTGACACTGACCTCACTGTGTTCTTGTGCTCTCTAAGGGCACCCTGCCTAATGCAGGTCTACCTGAAAGTGCCCTATGCACTAATGGCTCTGTGTTTACATCGAGGCTTCCTGTTGATAAACAGTGAGTTACCCCTGAATCTAGGGAGCACTTTATTCACTGTTCGGCCTAACCAGTTCAGAGCCTGTTTCTTGTCTTACTTGTCACTGTGTCCATTCACTCATTTGTCTCCTTGGCTGTACCTGACACACCATTTGCCTAGTTACTGCAGGACCTATCTTACCCAAGCAAAGGCTTGAATGGCCTAAGAACTCTCAAGTCGAAAGGAAAATAAAGCCTGTCCATGTGCTTGTGATGGTATTTGTGTATTTTAATCCTTTGAGAAGAACAGTTCAGTTTGAACCTGCATGGACTATTTTCCAAACTCTTCAAATGTGGTTTGTTTCCTGTTGTAATAATCTTCCTCACTCTCTGGCCCAAGTGTTTGAATACAGACATTAGTAAATTTTGGCTAATTTTTGCTCTGCTTCAAAAAGGATATAGGCTATGTTTTAGCCCCTTAGGAGCTTAGAACCAATTAGTTTCTTGTCTGTTTATTTGTTTGCTCCCAGGTTACCTAGTATGTCTTATAGGTAACAACCACAGCTGATGGCCATGTGGAGTTGTTGTTAATGTCAACACTCCAGCCCTGACAGATCTGTGTTGTATAAAGTTTGGGGATTAGTAGCCAGGCTGCTGCTGGAGGCTACTTCTGCTTGTTTTAGTAAGAGAATAGATGTTGAAGGAAATGGAGTCAAGGCTGAGGCTCTCTGGCTTTGACAGTGTGATTAAGGTTTTCAACTCTACATGTGTCTTCAGGTTCTTTCCTACTGTGTTCACTTGTTCTTTGTCTTTGGGACTGGGTGCTTAGTTTGTTTGGTTCCTTTGTACAAGGTTAATGTGGTAGTGGATGAGCTTGTGAATTAGGAATAATAGCTGCTGGTTGTAAATTGCACCTCAAAAGTAAAAATGTAATGGCTTGAACTCTATGTGTAAGTGGATTGCCCCTTGAAAGAACTCCCTAGAAGGGCTATAGCTTTGACCAGGTGGACATTTATTGGGCTCTCAGATGACACTTTTGGGGAATTAAAGTGAGTTTAGAGGAACTAAATAACAGTGATCTGTTTGTCTCCGCAAGGTCAGGGATGTTGGAAGCTGGAGTGGACAGAATTATTTGTCAGGTGGTGGATCCCAAACTAAACCACATCTTCAGGCCACAGATAGAACGAGCAATTCATGAGTTCCTGGCGGCCCAGAAAAAAGAAGCTATGCCAGCGCCCCCTCCAGAGCCTGAAAGCCAAGACCCTCCACCTCCATCCCAGGATGCTTCATAAGGTCCGGTATCCCGTCTTTTGTCCAGGAGCATTCATCTCTGGCTTATAGATATATAAAATGGATAGAAAAGGGGTAAGCCATTATTGGGGATCATATTCCTTATATATTCAGAAAAGTAATTTACTGCACATGGACTTTACCTACTGTTTAAGAGTCATTTTTTACTGAGAACTAACTAGTAGCATTTTCCTGTGTCAGTGAGTATGATTTTCTGTGCCACCACAGCTAAACATTTAAGCTATGAATAGACGCTTCATTAGAAACCAACTGGAATGATTGGCGTGCACAAGGGAAATTCAAATGAAAGTCTTGTTTTTCTGAAATTGCTTAAATGAGTCTCTCCCCTGGATATAAGTTAACTTGGGTTTGCAATTTAAATATAAAATCAAGCAATGCCTTCTAAAGTGGCATCCTACGGGGGATTCAAAGTCTGCTTTAAGCCCTGCTGGATTTCCTTGTATTTAAAGACTTTGGTTTGAGTTTACCGCTATCAGTTACCATAGGATTCTTCTGTTATGAGCACTCCTTTTTTTATTGCATTTTAAATTTAATTTAATTTAAAAAATCAGCTGTAGATGCACAAAACAATGCTTTTTGCAGGGTTTGGGAGACATTAGTACATATGAGCAGTGATCAGCGTGTAAGCAGTAGACTCTTACTTAGCCGTTGTTGGTAACCACCGGCGTGTGCCTTATCCCTTCATTCTACTGTGGGGTTCTCCTTGTAAGATTCTTTTAATATATCTGTTATTTTTGATAAACGAGATAAGCTTCAGCAAATGAACAAGACAAGAACATCAGCCTCGCATAGAGCACTCAAGAGAGAAATTGTCTCTGTGCCTATATTGGGAGAAGACCTCAATTCCATGAGGGAGTGTAAAACATTCATTTCAACTGTTTCTTTCTAGTTTAATTGTAAATTCCTTTAGGTACATAAAATTAAATATAGTCTCTTAACAAAAACTAGCATTTTGATATGATTCTCTTTTTAGAATATGCCGGACACATTTTGGAAGCTCCATTGAATTACTGGTGAAGAAATGGATTTGGTTACCTACGAGTACAACTTCAGAATGAAGACAGGCCAAGGTCACTGATTTCAAGATTCAGCCTTGACTGTGGGGCAGTGTCCAGACTGAACAGGGCGCAAGTTTGGCAGTGGGAGAGTTGGCCATGTGTGCCCCCGCATTGTGCTGCCATCTGGCCAGCCCGTCCAAGGGGATGACACCCAGTAGACACTACAGAGATATAAAGAAACACTACATCAACCTGGGACTGTCCCGTAACAAACCCTTATACTTGAACTTGGAGACTGTGTGTGCATTTTAGGGTTTGTGCTTGAGGATAAATAAAAGCTACAATGAAGGAACATAACCAGTCCCGAGGACGCAATTTCAAAGAATGACAGTAGAGGTTAGCTGGGAGTAGGTATTTGACAGTGCTTATTTGATACTGTTTCTCAGAGTTGCAAACTAGAATGTACAGACCATTAGCATCAAATAGCTTTAAGGTTGTTGTGACTCCCTTGTACATGAATCTTGTAGCCCCCAGTTTCCTTTCCCCTGTAGGAGGTGACAAAACATGGGTCCCTAGAATGTATGAGGAAGTCCATGTGGTAGGTATAAGGAAAGACATTCTCAGGCTCTCTGTCAGGGCTTTTTTCTATCCTGCAAGGGCTAGTGAAGCTTGGGTGTGTTTATTTTATTCTCATGTTTGTGTTTTTTAGAAAAGTGAATAATGATAAATGGCTTAAGTTTTATAATAAAATCATTTGATACTCTTACTCTGAAGCTTCAACTGAATCATAGACCCCAGGGTGTGAAGGGTAACCTTTTTCCTCTGCCTGCGTGCCATTCCTGTGCACAACACATGACTTAATGGCCATGAAGAGTTGATGTCTATCATACCTTGGAACTACCCTCGCCCTGAAGCTACTAGGTCTAGCCGGAAGTGAGCAGGCAGTGCCTCTCCTCCCCTGGGCCATTACTGATGCCAGTCTTCAGTTGAGGGCAGTACGTGATACCAGTGTTTCTCAAACTTGCGTGTGCAGAAGTATCACATGGGGATCTTAGAAAAAATGCATCTTCTGATTCAGAAGTTCCAGGGGACCTGAGTGTGCTGCTGGTAAGCTCCAGGTGATGCTGATGCTGCTGGCCCTTGGCAGTGCTTCGTGTCCCAAGCCTTGGATAATGTCAGATTACTTCAAGTCTTTCGTTCTTAGTTGAGTCGACTACTGGATATTGTTAATCTAATAAATTTTAACCTATTTAGTTGGTCCCCTATTAAATAAGCCACTTCCACCTTTACCATCAACACCTCTGTGTTGGGACTGTACTGCCATATTCAGTGAGATGTTTGGACAGCATGTGGCCTCGTTTTAAAGCAAGTTGGTCACTTGTTTAGGGCAGGTGGTAGTAACATCTGAAGTTCTGCTTCCCACCTCTTAATGGGGGCAGTTCCATTTCCAGCTCAAATAGGTTGCTGTCCTTTTCACTTTGGGATTCAATTACCAAAATCCTCAGTGCCTGGAGAGGGGGCCCTCTAGTCCTCTTTACTCCACTAATAGGTGAACATGGAGTGACCAGTGTTACCAGTCCTATGCTTTGCAAAGATGCTCTCAGGCTAACTAGTATCCCCTCTTCATGACCATGAGCCCTCACTGGGAAGCTCCTTCCCTGTGAGGTGTCTGCTCCAGGAGGGAAATCGGTAGAGCCGCTTTCTGTTGACCCAACATCTTGCCCATAGTGCCCGTCCTACACTGACCTCAACTCAGCAACAGAGAGGGCGAAACAGCAACCTGGAGAAGACTTCATCCTCTGCACCCAAATGCCCAAGTGACGACGTTTTGTATCTTTTTGGCAGGCAGTTTTTGGTCCATCTCAGTTCTCTCTGCTTTTTCTATTGCTAGGAGGGGGTGTACCAGTCGATGAGAAACACCCTGATTTTCACAGATTGTTAAATATGCCAAGATACGAAAGAGTTGTTTATCATTGTGTTGTATCCACCAAGAGTCACGTAGACCAGAGATGATTTCATTTGAAAAGATCATCAGGTTACAGAAGTAACTAGACACATCACTACTGTTAAGACAGAGGACTGCCTTTTGGCTTTTAGCTGAGCCAAATAGAAAAGTGCTCATATGCCCTTGGGTAAACGTTAAATTGGGCCAGGGAGGCGAGGCAAGACAGACAGCCTCTGCCCACTCCTTAGAAACTGGGCACCCGCTAAGCCTGTTTGCATTTTCAGTGAGTCCTTATGCTTGGCTATTAGGCTAGTCATGCAGAGCCTAGAAAAGTCATGTGTGTTCTGATATAAAGTAGAAAAATTCCTCCCTGAGGAAGACAAGGCCACCAAAAATAGTTTGTCCTGGACACCCTTGCTGTATTCATTCCTCAACAAGAAACTAGTTGTCATGGACCTCCAAGCTTCTCTCCATATAGTTGGAAAAACCACTGCTATTTGCAAAAGCCCCATGAAGCACAGAACTAACCTCTGTAAGACATCAACAAATAGTACCAAGCTTTAAAAACCCTCAAAGCCTTCGAGTCAGGAGGATATTAATGTAAGAAGACTCCATGCTCGTTTTTGAAGTCCAGTTCAGGCAACATCTACAATAGCTACTGGAAACCATTGCCCCTGGCACGTTTCCAGTTACTAGTGTAAATGCTTGATTGCTATTGCCAACCCACCTTCTCCACCCAGTAATGACTGTTTTAACTCTTTCCTGGCTTACAGTCAAGTTTGTGGCTCATATCAGATTTTCAGGCATTGTCTCAGACTATTTCTGCCATTTAGCCTTAGCTTCTATTTTCTCATCAAGGGCCATAGGGTTTCCCATGCATTCTCTATCACTTGCTAGCACTGTGAACTGAATAAATACTAACAGATCCATTACAGCAGTGATTCTGAAGGCATAATCCCCCAACCAGCAGCAGCAGCACCTGGACCTTGTTAGAAATGTGACCTGTACCCCAGACCTACCAATTCAGAGACCTGGGGAGGGGCCGACATGCCCTCCAGGAGACTCATGCACACTAACAAGTGCTTTTGCTTTAGGAAACCCTTTTGGAAAGCTGGTGACGTTGACTAGTGATGACAGTTTAATTATATTAGAGCATAAACATGTCTCTTCTAACAGCTTCTGAGGGGCAAAACTACCGGTTTTTTTTTTTTTTTTTTTAATTCTCCCATAGTCCTTTGCAAGAAGTGTGCTTTTGGACATATTGACTTAGAAATGTCTGCACGTAACAAACCTCCTAAGCTATCAGCTACAAACCTCCTTCAAAAGCTATAAGCAGTCTTCTGAAGATGAATTTGCTAAGCAGCTCAAAACATTGTCAGGAACTCTGCAGAAAGGCTTTTATTGGCTGTTACAGGTAGAGGAGAGATGCCTGTAGGGGCCCAGCAAAGGTCAGGGCCTGGCTTGTGCCTGAGGCTGGCACTGGATCAGCAGTGGCAGGGGGCCAGGCCCTGCCTCCCTTAGCTGCCCTAAGGGTGCCAAGGATGGGGCGGGAAGCAGACAGAAAGCTGGCATAACCAAGTTATCGTTGGCACTGTGCATTGCACTCTGTCCATCACTTTACCTGTGGAGGAGCCAGGAGGTCAACTTTTATGGTCTTGTCACCAGGGATGGGCTTGGCTCCAAGGCCACATGGTAATAATTACTGTCCTTTCAAATTGGTCACACGGCCTGAGACCTAGACAGTCATTCTGACTCCAGTCTCCAAACTGCCATTTGGCTATCCTTCCTGAAACGTGGCTTTCACCAGGTATCTTCCTCACTCGTGAACTGTGAAAGGAAGAAGTAAATGAACTAGGCACTTACAGGTAACAGAAATTTCTTTTTTTTTTCTTTTTTTTACTTTTTATTATTTTATTAAGGTTACATTGGTTTATAAAATTGTGTAAATTTCAGGTATACATCATTATATTTCAGCTTCTGTATAGACTGCTTTGTGTTCATCACCAAAAGTCTAGTTTTCATCTGTCACCATACATATGTGCCCCTTTACCTCTTTCACCCTCTGCCCTCCCCTCCTTCCCTCTGATAACCACCAATCTGTTCTCCTTATCCATGTATTTGTTTATCTTCCACAAATGAGTGAAATCGTATGGTATTTGTCTTTCTCTGTCTGACTGACTTCACTTAGCATGATACCCTCACAGTCCGTCCATGTTGTCACAAATGGAACAATTTTGTCTTTTTTAATGGCTGAGTAGTATTCCATTGTGTATATGTACTACATCATCTTTGTCCATTCATCCATTGATGGGCCCTTGGGTTGCTTCCAAGTCTTGGCTATTGTGAATAATGCTGCAATGAACACAGGGGTGCATGTATCTTTTCCAATTGGTGTTTTCATGTTCTTTGGATAAATACCCAGAAGTGGAATAGCTGGATCATATGGTATTTCTATTTTTAATTTTTTGAGAAGTCTCCATACCGTTTTCCATAATGGCTGCACCAGTTTGCATTCCCACCAGGAGTGTATGAGTGTTCCCTTTTCTCCACATCCTCTCCAACACTTGTTATTTCTTGTCTCTTTAATTATAGCATTTACATTTGCAACAAAAAGAATAAAATACCTAGGAATAAATTTAACCAAGGAGGTGAAAACTATAAGACATTATTGAAAGAAATTGAAGAAGACATAAAGAAATGGAAAGATATTCCGTGCTCATGGATTGGAAGAATAAACGTGGTTAAAATGTCCATATTACCTAAAGCAATCTACAGATTTAATGCAATCCCAATCAGAATCCCAATGACATTTTTCATGGAAATAGAACAAAGAATCCTAAATTTATATGGAATAGCAAAAGACCCCGAATAGCCAGAGCAATCCTGAGAAAAAAGAACAAGGCTGGAGGTATCACACTCCCTGAGTTCAAAATACACTACAAAGCTCTAGTAATCAAAACAACATGGTACTGGCAGAGAAACAGACACACAGGTCAATGGAACAGAATTGAGACCCCAGAAATAAACCCACACATCTATGGACAGCTAACCTTTGACAAAGGAGCCAAGAACATACAATGGAGAAAGGAAAGTCTCTTCAACAAATGGTGTTGGGAAAACTGGACAGCCACGTGCAAAAGAATGAAAGTAGACCCT